ATGACTAGCTGCCTTCCCTCTAGTCTTACACTGCTAAATTAGGGACGGCTAGCGCAGATAGCCCTCGTGTAGCTTTGCGCGAAATTCAAATTCATTTCTGTTACGTAATGATAATAATTAAGAAGGAGAGCACTGAATGCTGAGAAGGAATACATACCTTACGTAGAAAATAGTTTATCATTTGATGAGTATTTCATATTTTTAGTTTTTTATCGATCATTGCGTCGGCGTAAGAGAGTGTATTCGTGGGTCAATCAATTTATGTATACAAGAAAATGCTTAATAAAGAGAGGTCGATGCTAATCAATATTTAATGTATTGGTGAATCTAGCAGTGACATCTCATATTTATCGCTAGTTACTTGATTTAAAACGTTTTTTTTTTTGTTTTTGCAGCTGCTTAACAACTGACGAATGAAGAATTCCATTTTCACAAAAATATGTTTTCGAATTCTAGTGCTTTTATCAACTTTTTAAGTGTTTCAACATTCATTATATTAATAAACCATGTAATATAAATGATCGGTATTGTAGTTTAAAATAAGAGTTTTCACAGACTTCATGAAGAGTTGCATGAAGTTTACTTTAAACTGATAAATAGCATTAATTATATTATTCTTGTACAACGTGTTCATTGAAAAATTTTTCACAATTTTTCATCTGCTGTGTTAACAAATATAGGCTTAAGAAACGATGGACCTTTATTTCCTCCGACCGCTAGAGGACGCTTGTATCCATCGTGGTACTGAGGGGGATTTTGAAGAAGTAGTCTCCTCACATTAAAAGGCCGGCTCGCATATTCCGCTCAGCTTCACCAATTTTTCCCGCTTTCTTTCTTATCACACCTAGAAGTTGCGTGAAACGTTCGATATGACAGATACGTGTTCGGATCCACCTGACGTAAAGACAAACCTTCCTAAAGTTAAACATTGAATATCATTCGGAAATTTACGTAAATGTGTTTTTCTTTGTTTGTTTTTTGTCTAGTAGAATAACTTATATCACTAAAAAATTCTTACAGATTGTGATAGCGCAGGATTTTTAACGATGCCTTCTTAGTGGAATTACTTTGTGTTAAAGAGAAGAGTTTATCTACGTTTATGTGTTGTTGCTCCAATATATTGAAAATTAACTAAAAATACAATATATATAGACCCATGACTTTAAAAAATTAATCCTGTATAAGACGCTTCCAATTAATAATTTGTACTTGAAAGATTCTCGATATCTGAGAACTGTCTACAGACTTAGGAAGAAGACCGTCTACAAGACATAAGAATTGTAACATTTGAGGCTATAGGTAGGATAACAGAATCTCATTTTGTCCAAGCTAAAGAATAACTTAAACCATAGCTTTGAATAGCTGCCGAATTGGTATCAGAAGTACCTCTGGGAACACACCCATACTAGAAGAGTTGTAACTTCAGTTGAAGAAGTGGCTGCTAGTTGTTGTTTTTCTCTGGTTGAGATATTTCTTGGTTCTGCTCATCTGTAGGGAGAAAAAAATCAGTATTACAGCCTATTCGTTTAACCTGAATTTCTGGTAAGACTAATATTTTCTTTACGCTTTAATACAGAGTAAAGTACATACACTTCCATTAGTAAAAGTTGGCGAATGCCAGTGAATCTTGTAGATATTTTTTGGAAGATTATGGCTTTGCTACAAAAGTTCTTGGTTATTGTTTTAGAAGTGATTATGCAATATGTTAACAATGAAAGTACTTTTGCAAATCAGTGTTACTTTTGACATTGTTAAGCCATAGTTATGGATATACTTATGAAATAGGATACTACGGATATATGTTGAACATAATGGGATAGAGGTATCTATAAATGTTGATTTTACACGTGCATAAAGAAACGTATACTTATGAAATAGGATACTACGGATATATGTTGAACATAATGGGATAGAGGTATCTATAAATGTTGATTTTACACGTACATAAAGAAACGTGTCCCTTCCTGTGTTCCAAACTAAGTGCTTATGTTGTAATCTTAAAAGAGCAAACGAATAATTTTATGTGATCTTTATTCTCGAAATGTATTTTAATTATTAGACGTAGTGGAATGTTTTTTACTTGTTTTCAACTGTTTATTAATCTGAGCTTGATATAAGTTCTACACTTCCCTTCTCTTTGTGTCTATCTACACTATACGGGTTGCAAATTTTAGGTTAATAAATTCATGCTTTGAAACGTGAAAATGTAATACACTAGGAGGTTTTTCTTCAGTATTTTAATAATTGATACTTAAGTGTAGTGTTCTCTTCAGAAAAATGATGAAATAAAACAAGTAAAAAACACGCCTTTAGAAAATGTGAAACCTCCGCAGTTACTAAGCATATTATGTATCAAATATACCTTCTTGTCATGAAAAATAAATTTCAAACGAAACAAATTAGTGTTAGGAGTATCACTTTTCGTTTAATGATCCCAGCTTAAATATTTAACGAAATGTGTGATATCTCACTCGTTTGATTAAAAAAAAAATAAGGGTTTCCTAAACCAGTAGAGCTAATTACTAAGACTTATATTTAAGCGATATTAAAACTTTTACAAACATTACTAGAAGTTTTTTTTTTTTAAAGTATGGTAATTCTTTGTTTTTAACTGTTTGACGAACACGTGTATTTTGAATGGAAAACATGATAATCAAATCACCAAATTATTAAGTAACTCTGCTCTTAACCGCTTTTTTTTCTGTTATACTGAACAGTAAAAAAAATACCATCAATTACAGGGCCGGTCCTAAAGTATATAACCATGCATGATGCATTTTAGTCATGACTTACTCAGTTTTCAAACATAACAAAAATAGAAGCAGATGCAATAATAAGAATGAAGAAGTAAATGAAGTTACAAACTTTTAGTTCAAGTGAAACTAACTTTTCTTCCAATATTACTGCCCCCCCCAGTGAAACTAACTTTTCTTCCACTATTACTGCCCCCCAGTGAAACTAACTTTTCTTCCACTATTACTGCCCCCCCCAGTGAAACTAACTTTTCTTCCACTATTACTGCCCCCCCCAGTGAAACTAACTTTTCTTCCACTATTACTACCCCCCCCTCTTCTATGAGGTTTTCAAAATGCAGCATCTTTCTCTCAGTTGACAAAATAGCCAAGGAACTGAGACGATCTTGCTCATTATTGATCGCAAATATGATTTTATTAGTTTCAGGGCCCCACTTGATTAGCATTTGGGGCCTCCTGATCGAAAGCCCTGATCAATTATAATTAATGACAAAATTGGAAGATTATAGTGTTTTGAAGATGGACAGAAACCGTCTGAGTGTTAAAAGGCTAGTGTAATATACGTATATGAAGCAGGTTAGTTCAGTGATCGTAAAATATCCGCACACATCAAAACTCTTCATAGAAACAAACAAACAAACAAAAAAAAAGAAACTACAAGCATGTTACGTATGTCTATATTTTTTATTTTTGATAATTTTGGAGTAACAGTACGTTTTCTGAATTACTGTGGTAAGAAATTAAGTAAGTTAGATATATAGATATAATAAACGTTAACACCGTCACCTGTGAAACCCGAGTAACTTTATTAAGTAAGTTAGATATATAGATATAATAAACGTTAACACCGTCACCTGTGAAACCCGAGTAACTTTATTAAGTA